TGCTAAGTGTTTCATATGTAATGCATCCCACGCACATTGCAGATTCCACTGGGTGCTTTTACTCATCGACCTGGAGGCCTGCACCGTCAACGTATATGACTCAATGGATAAAAAAGAGTCTACGTTTGACAAGGTTTTCGAACTTATAGACAGGTACCGTCATAAGTTCCTTTGTTAATTAAGAAAATCTTGTTATGTTAATTGCTACTACGAATCATAGCTTTAAACTCCATGTAGGGCTTGGTATCGGTTCCGTCATTTGGTCCGCGGCAAATGGAGAGAAAGACTTAGGCGGAAGTTCAAATTTCCTGTGAATACACATGCTCTACATTTATATTTCTCCGATTCAAATACATACAAGTGTATATTAATTAGATCTCTCGTTGTTTGTCATTTATTTGTAGTGCGCAAAGCAAAAGCAGGGAACTAACTTGTGCGGCTATTACGTGTGCGAGTATTGCCACTGCCTTGCAGACCAAATCATCACCACAAGAGAGCTCGATGTACGTACAAATAAATTCAAAATTTCATTACGTAGCGATTTCTTGTTTAATTACTAATCAATTTCATACATTCATATAGTTTATTCGCATGAGGGATAACCTGACCACACACAAGGAATTTATCGCGGCGGTTCAAGAACAACTCATGGGATTCATCAACGAAGAAATCCTTGATCCCAAGGGTGAATTCTACTACGACGGAAACACAATTCACCGGTCCTTAGCTTCTGAGCTAGCAGCGAGTACTACTACGTCGAAATCGTAGCTAGCTAGGACATATAATGGATTGTAATTAATACATGACTACATATGTTTCTATATGCATGTATACACATTTTCTATAATGTAAATATATTTTGTTCATATATATATCTATATACATATGCATTTGCATAACATATATATGTATAAATACATATATATTATGCATGTATATACATATAATATAATATAATATATATATATACATATATATATGTATGCATATATCTGTATTGAAACATATATATGCATGGTTTATATATATATATATATATATATATATATATATATATATATATATATATATATATATATATATATATATAAACCATGCAGCAACAGGGGCATGCAAAAAAAAAAAAGGTCAGCTACCAACCGGGACTAAAGATCGATCTTTACTCCCGGTTATTTCACCTGGGACTAAAGATAGCGATCTTTAGTCCCGGATTGGTACTCCCGGTTTGGAAACCGGGAATAAAGGGGGGTTACGAACCGGGACTACAAAGGGTTTCTCCACCAGTGCTCGCAGGAGGCGATGAGGTTGTAGTGGCAGTAGGTCAGCCCGGACGACTCCGGTGGTGGCGGCTCCGTGAAGGTGGTCATGCAGCACAGGTCCTCGAGTAAGAAGGTGTCGCCGCCGGTGGGCACCACAGCGTTGTACGCGCAGGGCGGCCTTGGCGTTGCTGACGTGGCGCTCGTCGGTCATCACGTCCCATTCTAGAGAGAGGGTGTCCAGGGTTACATATTAAGCGTGAAGAGAAACATAAGATCTAAATAAATCGATGAGAGCTCATTCAAAATGGTAGATATACCGCACAATCTAGCCCAATGTCGAAGCCTAAGCCTATTAGCTGTTTTCGATAATAGAGGCTAGCCGATGAAGCTGAGAGAACAAGACCAGTCTAGATTATGCGATATATATGATAACTCGGAAGTTTGCGTGGACAGGATTAGAGTGTCATGACGATGTAAGCACTAATTCCAAGAACGCAAGCCGCCAAAACAAGCTTTACCTCTTCGTCGGAGATCGAACCCGATGCAGCCCAACTTGAAAGCAAAAACTCATCGAAACAATGAAAATAGAAAAGGGTGGCGATGCGACGAAGTGTATTGAACTGTCGCCCCTTGATTACATGGTGTCGGGCCATATTTACACCCGAAGTACATGAGATGTCCTTGCTGGACATGACTCTTATCTCTAATACAATTTAAAATACGAATGAGCCCTTTAGGTGGACCCTTACCAAAATATCTCTAAGGAAACTAGAAAATGTTCTAATTAATATATACAATTGCCCTTTTTAGGACTCCTATCCTTGTGTGGCAATAGCTATGAAGGGCTTCAACCAATCCGACAATGGTCATGGGGCCATTTCTCCCGAGACTGGTTGCATCGGCTTGGCTCCATCGGATCCGGCACTTAGTTGATATATGGCAGCCAATACTATTTGTAGCCGATTCACGTATTAGCCGATGCTACTCGTAACCGACGTGTACTTTGCTTTCTCAAGCGGACTTTCTCCAAATCTGCTTCGTTTCCAACTTCGAATCCGACCCATGGCATTACCAATTTTGGTCGTCAACAGTCGCCCTGCCTAGTGATCAGCCGGATCGACTCGTTTGGCTCTGGAGCACCTTTGGGCAATATTCGGCTGCCTCAGCCTACCAAATGATGTTCGCGGGATGTGAGCAGTTCTCGCCATTTAGGTCAACAAAGCGCCACATCGGTGCAAATACTTCGCATGGCCGGTAGCCCATCGCAAATGCTGGACGGCGGATCGACTGAGTGCGAGAGGACTCCCCCACCCAGCCCGCTGTGTCCTCTGTGACCAGCATGACTAGTCCATCGACCACATCCTAGTTGCATGTCCAGAGTCCCTTCAATTTTGGTGGCTTATCCTTAATGCCATTGGTTGCCCGGGTTGTCACCTGGTGGCTGAGACCTCATTCATCAATTGGTGGCTGGTTGCTAGAGGAAGAGTTCCCCAGCCTCAGCAGCGTGGGTTCGACACGGTAATCATCCTGGCAGCATGGTCTATTTGGAAGGAAAGGAATATCCGGGTCTTCAACCAACAACAACGATCCTGGATTGAGGTTGCAAAGGCGGCGGCCAATGAGGCTGCCCTCTGTAACGAAGCAGGGCTTCTACGGTTCTACCTGACTAGAACGTCGTTGTGTCCCCGGTCGCAAAATGGATGCCGCGAGATTTAGGCCATAGGCTTTGGTTCCAATTTTGTTTTATTTCATCTTTCGGTTGGTTGGTTGGTTGTAACGTGAACTTCTCAAAATCTTAATACAAAAGATACGCAACGCTTTTACGCATTCTCGAAAAAAAAACTTATCCTTTCTCTTTCCCATGATTTCGTTGAGCGTTGTCTACATCTTGGTCCGGGAGAAATTATGTCTGATGTAGTGATGCTGTTGTTCAGTTTTTTAGCTATTATGTTTTTTTTTTGGGTAGGGGTTATTGTTCCTCATTAGTACAAAGGGAAAGAAATGTCATTAATAACATAGACTCATCGATGAAAAAAAAACATATTGCACAAAAATGTCATACAATATCATATTATCGTACTTTACGTGAAATATATTTGATGTACACTATGAATTAAGTTAAAGCTCAATTGCACAGATCATGCAAAAATATTTTTTTTGCTAACATGAGATTTTAGAAATTATTAAAGATAATAAAATTGCACCGTAGCGTTTAGCACAAACATATCACTAGTTAGTAGAAAGTAGAAAGGGCAAAAAAAAAACTATTAATAATATAGACTCATCAATTAAATTCCCGTTACATGTACTACATGTATACCATGCTAATATCAGTCAAAGTAAGGATAGTCGTAGTCGTATTCTATTTCACAATCGTCCTCTTTGTGTTCTGGCAGAAGTCTATGTCCCGCGATGAACTTGTTCCTATCAGGATGCGTAAGGTAGCTTCGTTGACGGAAACAGGCATTGCAGTTGACGCTATAATCACGAGGATTTTGGAGGATACAGCACGCGACGACGCCGTCCTCCCCACCACAGACTTGGCCGCCGTCGTCGACCTCCACCTCCGCAAAGAACCAGGCGGCTGATCCGGTGGCCTCGCAGGAGGCGATGAGGTTGTAGTGGCAGTAGGTCAGCCCAGACGACTCCGGCGGCAGCGGCTCCGTGAAGGTGGTCATGCAGCACAGGTCCTCGAGGAAGAAGGTGTCGCCGCCGGCGGGCACCGCGGCATTGTACGCGCGCAGGGCGGCCCTGGCGTTGCTGACGTGGCGCTCGTCGGTCACCACTTGCCATTCTAGAGAGATGGTGTTCAGGGTTACGTATTGTGGTTTCGCCACCGGTTCCATGGGGGGTTTTGTGGGTTTGCGTGGTGGTGCTCCTGCTCCGGCTCCGGCTGGCGAACGCGAACCCATGGAATTCCGTCCCTTCCCTTCCGTTTCTCCGATCCTCGTGTGGGCGATGAATGTATTGGGCGATAGCTGATCAGCGAGCGACTGAGATGGAGAAGGAGTTGGTTGGGAGTCGAGCGGCCATCCATCGATCCATTATTATATGGCCTGGGCGCGCGCAAGCGGATTGGAGTCGGAGAGGGAGTAGCGATGTATTCCGAAGCGGTCTCCAATTACGCGGCTCTGATTCGGAGTTTCGGACTCGGATCTGTTCTTCTAGTTTTCTGTTTCCCTCTCTCCTGTTCGACTCGACTCGGACTCGGCCGCCGCCTGCACTGCATCAGCCCCGATCTACCGGTTTTCTCCCATTATATTCCATCCATTTTTCTGGTCTCTCTCCATCCGCCATGGTGAGTTTTGTTTGTTTTGTTTTGTTTCATTTTCTGGTCGAGATTAGGTCTTCTCTCCCTTCCTATAACATGAATTTATTGATCAGTTTTTTGTTGCGATTTCTAACCCGTTCTTTCCTGTTTTGTCAGACTTTTCTGTCCCAGTCAAGATTTACTTGGATTTACCTTATGTCTTCTCGTAGTTAGTACTTCCTCCGTTTCACTTTCTAGCATTGCATATATTTATATGTGTGTTTAGATTCATTAACATTTATAATTCTATATGAAATTATAAATGTGAGTAATATTAGAAAGTCTTGTAACCTGAAACGGAGGAAGTATCTTCCAATTTATTAGCAATTTGCTAGTATGGTTCGTACTCAATATGATTCCTGCAATAGTAAACCAAATGACGATCATATACTACAAGATTTGCTCATAACAAGTATAAACCAAAAATATACTGATTGAAGCATCCACTACAAGAATCTAAAAGACATACAAAAGTACAAACCTCTTGAAAGTTTTAAAAAATAACTCAACAAAATAGTCCATCATACAGTTTTGAAAAAGGTAATCTATAACTGAAATAGTCACATTCTTTCTACTAAATCCTAGTAAAAGATTATGGTAGACATATATACAACAGATAAAGTTGCCATACACCAGAAATCAATACTACATCATAGCCATATACAGCAGAGACATCCATGCACAGCTCCTTGACTATCTTGAAGAGCATGCACCATCTTTTACAAAAGCAAATTATTCCAATGCACGCATCAATTCATCATCATGTCCACACAAAATACTCTAAAACGATGAAAAACCGTAAACACTGAAATGCAGAGGGCGTTCAATTGTCAAGGGGCCATGTATGTCTCCACGCACTGCAAACCCCCATTGAACCTGTAAACATTGCCCCCTAAAACTGTCACCATAGCAACTTGTTCACCGTAGTGCAGCCTCAGGGTGCATTTTGGGTTGCTAGACCACACCGTTGCTTCTTGCAGCTCCCCTTTCTCCCAGCTGATGTTCACAGTCACATTGCCGCGAGCCCTCAATCCCTTCACGTAGCCTTTGGGCCACTTTTCGCGCGGCAGTGCTGGTAGCAAGTAGAGATCAGCATCACCATGGGTGCTCTGGAGCAGCATTTCAGCAATTGCAGCTGTGAATCTGTAAGTGAAGAATTGGGGACATACCAATAAGCACAAGTTAGTTACAAGTATTTGCTCCAGGAACATGGATCAATACTCGTTAAATTTACAAGCAAGTGGAACTTACTAGGAAGAGCAAGAAATAAATGATAGTCATTGACCAAAATAAAGTAACTAAAAAGGTGAGAAATTTGTACCCAAAATTTGCATCAATTTGGAAGGGTGGGTGTGCTGTCCAAAGATTGGTATACAATCCTCCCTCAAAGTCAACCTTGCCACCAGGAGGAACCAAGGTGATCAACTTTAGGATCATCCTGTATGCATTCTCACTATTCAGAAGGCGTGCCCACAGTGCCATCTTCCATGTGGTCGACCATCCAGGGCCATCTTCCCCTGATAAGCAAGCAGCCATGATTAACTTACTTGCCCTGGGTAAAATTATTCTTCTAATTTTCCTTAATGTAATCAACCATTGTTCATGAAAATATTTTTTAAGGCAAATCATGTTCATCCTCTTTTTTGCCAAAATTTATATTCCACAAATATATTCCTTGGTAGTCAATACTCATGAGGGAATCATAACAAATTTGAAGTCTAATAGTTTATTTATTTTTTCTACATATACTCTTAGTTATTTTCTGTTCATTTACCCTGCTATGGAATTTGTTGCCATCATTTGACCAATCCCACATGATTAGTCCACGTGCTTGGTTAAAATAAATTGACATTAAACAATCACAAGGGTGGTAGATCTCTTGGTTCTGGCTGTAACCAGAAATTAGTAGCGCATAGGGTTTAGGAGATCCTAGATATGGAATTTGCAACCATGATCGCAACACATCAAGCACAGAATAAAGAATGTACTATATATCTTTATGGTAGTATTTATTTGATATGTTATAAGCAAAACCACCAGGTTCCTAACTGGTTATTCTGTGTAAGCTCATTAGAAGTTTTTGGAAAACCTTAGACATCATCTGAAAATGTGATTAGTAGAGCACCAATATCCATAACTTTTCCATATTAAAGACCATGAAGTTGCTCATTGAGTTCTGCAAACCTCGTTTGTGGAGACTATTGGCAACAGCTTTGCAAACCTCAGGATTTTTCTGCATGGTTATAGTATGACCAGGGTAAAGACCAAACAGATGTGACAGGTGTCTATGATGGACTTCTGGGTCCTCGAAATCTTGTGCCTGCATTCAAAACACATTGTAGATGGCCAATATGTATTAGTAAATCACATTTTTTTAACAGAAACTATAGATTAGCTTCCTGCAGATTTGAACTTTTACCCATTCCATGATCGTGCCATCTTTAGAAATTTTAACTGGAGGGAGCATTGGGAGTGCCTTCTTGATCCTTTCAACCAGATTAGTATCAGATTTTCCCAAGACCTATTGATCATTGAATCAACACTCGGTTTACAGAATAGAAGTTCCCAAATATACCAACATTGATCTTTCTTTTCCTCAAGAGGAATGTCAGATTCAATCCATATCTCTAATTACAGCACAGAAACTAGCAAGGATGGAATTACCTCTGCAGACGAAATGACAGCCAGGAAAACTTCACGGATAATAGAGATGTCCATTGTAGTTGAATAGCTCACACTAGCAAGGTGACCACCAGTACCAGGAGCTATGAAAGGATGCTCTGGAGAAGTAGATGGATTTGTTTCCAAATAGTCTCCTGGTCCCTTGATCAACCAATCAATTAAAAACATTGCACATCCCTCCAGTAATGGATATGCTCTTTTCTCCAAAAATTCCTAGAAGACAAACAACATTGACAGATATATTTTTGAAGGAATTTATTCACTATTTAAATTGGATAACTCAAGTATTCCTGAACACAATAAATTACAGATCTGGGCAATAAATATTTGTGGGAATATCCAAAATATATGAGCTAAAACTTGCACACTATAAACATAAAAATGATGTACTAAAATAATATTAATTAAAAAATGAGCTTGTAACCAGAGATGATCCATGCAAAATAAGACGGGGAAGTCAATAAAGTACAAATGATAGCAATTAGCACAGCTAGTCCTTACTTTGTCCAGTGAATACTGGTAGTTTTCCCAAAGATGTGTACACAGCCAGGCACCCCCCATTGGCCACAATGCATACATCGCATCTACGTAATATGCAGATGATTTTGCCCATATGTCCGTGACGTGATGAGTTACCCAGCCACTCGCTTGGTAATTGACCTATGACAAAACAGTGTAATTCCAACCATGGTGAGAAGAGAGATCAACCATGTTTGTAACTATTCTTTGTTTTATCTGTTATAAACATGAATGATGCTTTATAATGGGAACAAAATCCATTGTTCTCCTCTAGGCGCTATGTAACTTACATTCATAGTTTTCTTGCAACATTACCTAAGCACATCATAAAAACATAAGAATTATATAATATGTTAGCAATCGAATACCGTTTTTTTCTCTTTTATGTTAACAATGACACTATAGAATGAAGTTTGACACTATAGTAGGAAGTTTGGTGACTATGTTTAACTGTTTATGTAGTAAATGTCAGCTCATTATCAAGCAAACATTATATGATGATGCAAATGAAGAAATTTCACTATTGCTTTTGAGTCGAATCTAAAACAATCAAATCTTCACCTTTTTCTCATGCTACTTATATTTGAAGTAACCTTACTTTTCACTGAAACCAAACAAGAAAGGAGTATAGTCCATAACTTACTTTTGCTGTTTTTGTTCCATTAACCGCAAGAGATCCTATCAAGTCAAATAGTGGTTCTTGGCATTCAGTAAGGTTACAAGGAAGTGTTGGCCAGTAATTCATCTCAAGGTTTATGTTCAGGTGAGGAGAAGCCCTGAAAATTAAACAGCATGAGACTTGATTCATAAACAGATCACAAACGAAGTAGAAAATATGATATCAGGCAACTCAGCTAAGGTAACTTTTTACTGTAAAGGCAAGGGGCTTCTCAGGACATCTATATAATCAACAGATAAGTTTAAAGGTGCCTCCCTCAAAGATGCAGAAATCTAAAAATTGACCCAAAAATGCAAAATACATTCCCAGAGATTCCCACAATTGAGAGAAGAAAGAGAAGGATCTACATGTATCAGATAAATTGTAGAAACAATGCAACTATTCAATTTTGTTAAAAAAAAAGAATGTGAGTGGTGGACAAAAACTATCTATGACTACTCTTTCTTTATATTATGTTATGGCACATGCTGGGTATGGTTACAAGGACTTGGATCAGGGGTACTCTCCCTCTTCTATCTGCTGCAGGGTTTCACCCTGTCATAAGAGACTCTGGGACTTTACTCTTGATTTCTCATTGCTTAATGAAAGCAAATGCAACTCCATCCTTACCTAGATATTTAACTTAAACTGAGATAAACTTATCTCTAGTATTGTGGAAATAGATGGTACTAATAAACTAATCTTCTCCCAAACCGAAAGTAATCCCCATGCTGCAGTAGAACCGGATGAACAGTGACTACACTAGATCTGGGGCCCATAAGCCAGTAACAATTATATTCAAACTACAAGTTACACATTTTATTCCAAATATTAAAATTGCATTTCTCATTGCTTACTGAAAGCAAATGCAACCCACATATTATAAAAATATATACAACAAACAGGTGTTAGAGTTATGCAACCGACACAATTTATGAAATGTATTACAAAATCTAACCAGGCAACAAAACATAATTAACAGATTTTTTGGTACTGGCACTATGAAATGAATCCAATTGCAATACACAGGATTGCTATGGTATCAATAAAATTTTGAAAACTCCAACTGTATGACTGATGGTATACAGGATCCTTGTCATGTATGATTTGATACAAGACTGAAAAGCAACTGAACAAACATAACTCTAAAGAATGTCTTCATACATGTAACAAGCATTCTGTTCATATGTGTGTTTACAACCACTAAAATGAATATGAATAAAAGTTACCAGGTACTGTTCAAATTTAATCAAACTAATAGTACATGTTTTAAGCTTAATATTTGTGTTTGGAAAGTATAGGCGGTCCTTGCCTGGATATAAAACAAGCAGAAAATGAATAAGCAGCAACAAATAACTGAAGCAAAAGCTTTTATTGAAAGACTTACTCCCAAGCAGGTGCAAAATCTTGGTTCCATATTCCTTGCAGATTAGATACCTGTGTCCCAGGCCGAGAGGAGGAAATGAGCAGGTAGCGACCATACTGAAATAACAATTCGACCAAAGAAGGATCCTCATCGCTTCTAAAGGAATTAATTCTTTCTGCTGTAGTCTTTACGTCATGATCAACTTCTTCCAAGATATCTTTCTCAAGCATTGATGCTTGCGATAGTTGCAGAGTTACACGGTGAAAAAGACCCTGATAATCTTCCAAATGAGCAGCTTTGAGCTGAGAAAATGTAGCATTCCTGCTGATATTCAATGTATTTAGAGCAGCTACTTCAGGGTTTAATTTTGACTCTGAAGGATTCACGAAAGGCCCATCGAATGAGGAAGCAGCTGCAACCAGCAAAACAACCCAATCTGCAGCATCAATTCTTAACTTTTGATCATCAATAATTGTGACTTTTGCGGAAGTGCCACCAATCTGCAGCCCAACAGCAGTTGCAAACTTGATGCCAATAGCATCGTTGGCCCCATTGTGATGCAGTGCAGGTCTTCGTCCTGGACATGTACCTTGCATAATCATCTCATTTGCATTTGTTATCCGAACATTGTGGTTTAGTTGACTGTTTAAGGATAAAGTGAAAGAAACATGTCCTGATTTGTTAGCAGAGATCTTGGTGGCAAAAACCTGGTGTGGATTTGAGCAGAAGTGCTCTCTACTGTACTGAACTTCCCCAATATTATAGCTGATGCAAACAGTTGCAGTACGTAGATCTAGCTCTCTTTTGTAAGAAGTATACCCCAGACTAGATGAGTCAAACTCCAGATTTATGTCTCCAAGAGGTTGGTAAACCTTCATAGAAAATAAAGGTAAAAATAGCTTTTCATTCACATTTAAATGAATTTCTTTGCACTTGATTGTAATGTTGCACATACAGTGATTCATGCCATCCTTATAAACTTATGGAACCCATTATCCCTAGTGGCGTGATAAAATAACCATCTATTCAAAAATTTAATTTAATGGCAGTTGTGGTATGAGCTCTTCAAAACTATCATATGTTTTCTTGAATAAGCATGCCATCATTCCACATTCAAGAAAGTAGATCAAACAAAATAATTTCTGGAGTTCTACTTAATGCATAAGCAACAAGGGAAACAAAATTATGGCTTTCTTCAACATTGTTTTGGTGAGTTTTATTTTTCTTTCAAACGAAGGCAAATCTTTCCGTTGTATAAATTCATAGAGCAGGAGTATTTTGGTGAGGTACAGTCATATAGAACATTTATATTTAAGGCTAGATCATGTAAGGGCTAAAATATGCATATTCGTTAACTAATAAAGGATCTATCCTCTATGCAACTAGCACATCAACCAGAAGAAGAAAATGAAAAATATATTCTCATTTGCAACTCATAAATCAGAATACCAAGGCTAGCATACACAAACACATACCTCTGTTGGACCACCGAAAAGGCCAGAGGCAGCCTCTGTAGCATCAACAAACTTCTCTCCATCAACGAGCTTCCTCACAACAGCGAGTGCGTATGGCGCATTTGGGTCAGTGTAGTTCCCAGGCACGCCGGTCCAAAGGGTATCATCTACAAGATCATTCAGCTGTGAGACACATAAGAAAGAAAAAAAGGAGAAGACTGTCGCTATCATGAGCATAGTCCAGCTGGGGCATTTCGTCGAACGCCTTGCGAGCAGCATCAACAGGGCCAAGAAACCGAGAAATAACGGCAAGCGGCAACGTACGGTTGAGCTGGAGCTTCTCGGAGGCGACGCTGCCCCAGACCATGGCTCCGAGGCTGCCGTTCCCGATGGGCGCCGCGTCCGTGAAGTGCTCGGCCGGGGAGTCGAACACCACCTTCAGCGGCCGCTCCTCCTCGTCGTCGTCGGCCGGCCGCCGCACCCAGACCCAGCCGTCGCCGTCCATGGGAGAGAACGCGGTGGGTGGCGGGCGGAGGAGAGGTGGAATCCGGGTTGAGAAGGGAGGGAGTGAGGCAGTGCTTTAACAGGTGAGGGTGGAGGGGGTTGGCAATGGCAATGGCAAGCTTCCATTTTGGGATGGGTTTCCGTGTTCTCTTCTTGGGTGGGTGGTGTGAATTTTGGCGCCAACAGAAGTACAGAACGGAGATACTTACTCCCTCCGTTTTTTTATATATATTTCAGTTGATTTTTTAAGAAACATTTGATCGTTCATCTTATTTAAAATTTATATATTATTTTCTTTATTTCACAATGTATATAACATCAATATGAATGTGAAAAATATTAAAATGACTTACGTTATAAAACAGAAGAAGTATCATTTATTTTTTATAACTCAATTTATCTTTAAATGTTCTTTAAACATGACTTAAATTTTTTTATATTTATATAAAATTTTAAATAAGACGAATAGTCAAACATTTATCAAAATACCAACGACATCGTATATTTAAAAATAGGGTTACATATGAAAAGAAGGTTTCCGTTCCATTGCCACGGTTTGGGCATTCTTTCTGTTGCAGCATTGCCGCTTCCAGCAAGCGAGCAACTATAGTGCCCTAAAAAAACACAAAAGGACAAAAGGCAAATTATTCTGAAAATTCTTCAAACCCTCATGATTTTCTGCTATTACTCATTTTTGGCATTTTGGAATATTGTTCTATATACTTTAGTATGAGAACGTGTAACCCGACTGGTAGAGCTACCAGGCCATGCTTCAATCCCCTCAAATTCAAATTCAGGTATTCTCATAAGTTTCTTCTTTATCGATACTGGGCACTAAGTTCTTCCTTAGTATCGTAGAAAAAAAATACTGTAGTGTCTGTTTTACACAAAAGAGAGATGTGTGTTGAGCCAAGATTGTGTTCTATATAATGCTATTCGCAATGGTTATTTTCTCTTTTCCGTTCTCGAACCGCTAAACAGTTCGTTTCACGAAAAAAAAATTACATGGAAGTATTTTCTAAAAAAGAGTCCGTATTAATTTATTTTATTTTATAAGTTTAAATAATTATTAATCGATTAATCGTGCATGAACACCTCGTCTTATGCGCCGCTGATTAGGTGAACCAAAATGCTTATTCGAACAAGGCCTAAATAACATGCTAGCTATTTTTCTCAAAAAGTTAATGTTAGAATAAATAGGCTAGGCCTGATTTTTTTATTAAATCTCAAGGACCCATAATAAATGTTAAGGATAATAATACTACCCTGGGAATTAAAAGAGGAGTACCTCAACTTAAATAGGAAGTTATTGAAGGCTCCCTGTTGACCGGTTGACTTAAATAGGAAGTTATTGGAGCCTCTCTGTTGACCGATTGAGGTGGGGATCGAAAAGCCACGCGCGCGCGCCGAGCCGAGGCATGCGCTGCGTCTCTCTCTCCTTTTTGCAACAGACCGGAATTCAATCCCGCGAGATTGCTTCTGTAACGGCTGTTAAATTCAATCCCGCGAGATTGCCTCTGTAACAGACAGCCGATTCAATGCGATTGATAGCGTCGTTACGTTACTACGGCAACGGGCGGATTCCTCTCTGGCGCTATTAGGAAACAGGGGACCCCGCGAGATTGCCTCTGTCAATGCAATTGATAGCGTCGTTATGTTACTGTGGCAAAGGGCGGATTCCTCTCCGGCGCTATTATGAAATAGAGGACCCCGCGAGATTGCCTCTGTAACGGACAGCCGATTCCCGGAATTCAATCCCGCGAGATTGCCTCTGTAATGGACAGCCGATTCAATGCGATTGATAGCGTCGTTACGTTACTGCGGCAACGGGCAGATTCCTCTCCGGCGCTATTAGGAAACAGAGGAACCCGATCAGATCTCATCGCTTAGTTTCCAAATCGTTGGTTCTTCCTCCTCGTGCCTGTGCTGCTTCGGTTTTCCCCGGTTCTGATCACTTGCGCGCACGAGAGATCGGAACAAACATGGCCTCCGGAACCACACCTTCGCCTGAGATCTGCACCGGGTAGGCGGGTGACTGGAGCTGCCGCACCCGCACCTGGAGATGGCGCACCGATCGACAACACCAACGGAGGCAGTTCTGCCTCACAATCCAGCGGAGGGACTTTCACAGGGTATAACTTTCTACCGCGACTTTGTGTTTGTTGCTTCTGTTAGTCGCAATACTATTGTGTTCTCTCCATGATGATGATGCTTATTCTATCCTAAGCATGCTCCTGGTTATGTTTAATTTTATCACTAGATCACCTCACATTGTTCGTGCCATGATTATTGTCTTAATATTTTGATTAAAATATGCTGATATATGACTATATTTCCAACAATCCAAAAACCTGATAGGTCATTTTTGGTAGTTGGCTTTGCTGCTGCACTGAAACCACATGCTTTTGATGGTTCTAATTATAAGAGATGGAAAGCATGTGCACTACTGTGGTTGACAGCGATGCAATGTTTCTATGTTTCACGGGGTAAACGAAGTGAACCACCTCTCTCTCCTGAGGAGGAGGTTAAGTTCGAGGCTTCGGATTGCCTGTTCCGTGGAGCATTGATCAGTGTACTCGCTGACAATATAGTGGACGTGTATATGCACATGCCTTCAGGGAAGGACATGTGGGATGCACTTGAGGCCAAGTTCGGAGTTTCCGACGCCGGCAGCGAGCTGTATGTCATGGAGCAGTTCTATGACTACAAAATGGTCGATGACTGTTCTGTAGTTGAACAAGCTCATGAGATTCAGATGCTGGCTAAGGAACTTGAGAACAACAACTGTGAGTAGCCGGACAAGTTTGTGGCAGGTGGCATTATTGCCAAATTGCCACCTTCTTGGTCGGGCTTTGCCATTTCTCTAAAGCACAAGAGACAAGAGTTCAGTGTTTCTGATCTTATTGGCTCTTTGGGTGTTGAGGAGAAGGCGAGGGCAAAGGACAACCGGGGCAAAAAGGTTGAGGGAGGTTCTAGTGCCAATATGGTACAGAAGAAGAACCCTCATGCATCCCACAACAACAAGAAAGTCAAGCCTGATGTCAAACCCAAGGCTACAACCAATTTTAAGAAGAAAGGCAAGGGAAAGGCAAAAGGAGACCGCTTTGTGTGTGGCAAGTCTGGGCATTGGGCCAAGGACTGTCCTGAGTGCAAAGACAGGAAGTCTGCCAACATGGTCATTAGCGAGGGCGGAAGAACATCGGGGTACGGTAAAATTTTACCTACAGTTCTCTCTGTTTTTCATTCACCTGATTGGTGGATTGATATTGGTGCTAATATTCATGTATGTGCTGATATTTCCCTGTTTTCTTCTTATCAGGTCGGGAGAGGTTCCTCCTTGTTGATGGGAAACAGGTCACTTGCGGCTGTTCATGGTGTTGGTACGGTCGATCTGAAGTTTACTTTGGGAAAGACCGTGCAGCTGAAGAACATGCAGCATCTCCCTTCGATAAAGAATAATCTAGTTAGCGGCTCTCTACTGTGTAGAGAAGGTTTTAGACTTGTGTTTGAATCCAATAAATGTGTCATATCTAAATATGGAACTTTTATTGGAAAAGGTTATGACAGGGGAGGCTTGTTCCGCTTTTCTTTGGATGACATGTGTAATAATAATAATGTTGTGAACCATATTAGCGAGAATGATGTGTCCAATGTGTGGCATTCGCGACTCTGTCATGTGAATTTCGGTTGTATGACACGCTTGGCTAACATGAGTTTAATTCTAAAATTCACTTGGGTCAAAGGTTCCAAGTGTCATACTTGTGTTCAATTGAAACAACCTCGCAAGACTTAGAAGGCATCTGAGGCGAGGGATTTGGCACCTCTAAAACTTATTCATTCTGATCAGTGTGAAATGAATGGCGTGTTGACTAAAGGGGGGGAAGAAATATTTCATGACGTTGATAGATGATTGCACTAGATTTTGTTATGTGTATTTATTGAAAACAAATGATGAAGCATTGCATTACTTTAAGACCTATAAAGCTGAGGTAGAAAACAACCTTGAAAGGAAAATCAAACGGTTGAGGTCTGATAGGGGTGGAGAGTATTTTTCCAATGAGTTTACATCTTTTTGCGAAGAGTTTGGAATTATTCTTGAGAGGACACTTCCCTATTCACCCCAATCAAATGGGGTAGCCGAACGAAAGAACCGTACTCTAACTGAGATGGTGAATGCCATGTTAGACACTGCGGGACTTTCCAAGGAATGGTGGGGTGAGGCAGTTTTGACTACTTGTCATGTCCTAAATAAAATTCCAATGAAGCATAAGGAAGTAACACCATTCGAGAAATGGGAAAGAAAGAAATTAAATCTCTCATACCTATGAACATGGGGCTGTTTGGCCAAGGTAAATGTACCTATAGCCAAAAAGCGGAAACTTGGACCAAATACTGTTGATTGTGTGTTCATTGGTTATGCTATTCACAGTGTGGGTTATAGATTCTTAATAGTAAACTCTGGAGTACCCGACATGCATGTTGGTACAATTCTTGAGTCCAGAGATGCTACATTCTTTGAGAATGAATTTCCCATGAAACATACACCTAGCACTTCTAGTCAAGAAACTGTCATGCCCCATGAGCACTTTGCACCGATAGAACACAATGATCAAACGCCTGAGGAAAATCCTGAGGAGGACAACATTGTAGATACTCGCAAGAGTAAGAGACAAAGGGTTGCAAAATCCTTTGGAGATGACTACATTGTATACCTCGTGGATGACACCCCAAGAACCATAGAAGAGGCATATTCATCTCCTGACGCTGACTACTGGAAGGAAGTAGTACGCAGTGAGATGGACTCAATTATGTCTAATGGTACTTGGGAAGTCGTTGAGCGTCCATATGGGTGCAAGCCTGTAGGATGCAAATGGGTTTTCAAGAAAAAGCTTAAGCCTGATAGTACAATTTAAAAGTATAAGGCAAGGCTTGTGGCCAAGGGTTATACCTAAAAAGAAGGCGAGGATTTTTTCGACACCTACTCACCAGTTGCCCGTTTGACCACGATTCGAGTACTACTTGCTCTAGCAGCCTCTCATGGTCTTCTCGTCCATCAGAATTGGACGTTAAGACAGCTTTCCTAAACAGAGAGCTAGAGGAGGAGATCTATATGGATCAACCAGACGGGTATGTACTAGAAGGTCAGGAAGGAATGGTGTGTAAACTGTTGAAATCCTT